CAAAAATCGCGAAAATCGTTGAAAATGCTACTTTTGGACTCTAGGAAAAATGCTTGTAACTTCCTAACGGTAAAAGCTAGAAAGCTGGGCTTGGTGTCAAATGATAGATAATCGTCTGCTTTATTAAACCTATGTCAAAAAACTCAATGCCAAAGTCAGTGATGACGGTTAGGCAAGTTGCTGCGAATATTGCAGGCAGGTGACCTCAAATTTTGGGAGGGTGCCGTTTTGTTCATATTTCCATATAAAGTTGCTGCCCTTCTATTCAAAACTGAAAACCACAAGTCTCTAGCTGTTTTCTAGCCGGAGTTATTCAACTTACAACCGAGTGCACTGTTCATTGAAATGGATATTAGTTCAAGTTTCCGATCACGTGACATGAATTGGATGATTAGAGCGAAACATTCTGAAATATATTTCGTTTTAGTGATTCTAATCGGTATATTATTAACATTCGTTGGCCGTTGTTTATTGTTAATAACACTATGTAATCATCTTTGTTATTCACTACTAACTTCAAATGAATTTTTGATCATCCTACTAATGAAAAGTGTTGAATGTTAACTTCTTATTCTTTGAAGTGGTTTCCAATAATATTTCTGATTTCAATAGCTCATGAAAACCTCAGTGAAGTGTTGGATTGTATGAATTCAATGAAGAAGCAAGGTACATTAGAAAATACGACTCGATTTAGTTGAACGAAGGAAAGCGATTTTTGTTGTGGTTGATTAATTATTGCCGTATCTTCCATTTGCTTGAGGGTACCTTTGCTTGATTGATGTTGTTTCGGTGCAGAACTGATGGGTCCACCACTGTGGTTAAGATATGAACTACGTTTCTGAGCCATTACCATGTGCTGGATGTTCATCTTAATGCTTAGATGGTTTTACGGTTGGTCTTGAGTTATTTGTCCATGATATAATTGTTGGGAGGATCGTTGAGCACTTTTAGCTAGGTAAAATTCAATAAATTGATAGAAATTACGTAGCATATGTGAATTTGAATCTAACAATGAAGACAACCTTCTCGTTGCTCTATCCCGTTGTCATCATGATACATTGTTGATTGAGGATAATGTTAATTGATATGGTTCACACATGAAGTGTTGATCGTTCATATCTGATTCACTTGAATTAGCTTGAGCTGTACGAGCATGGTTGTTCAATATGTATTTTTTGGCTAATTGGAAATTAATAGAAGGCACAAGGTAGCTGCTTTAAGAAATACGAGATGTATTAGCGGGATGCGAAATAAGAAGAGTATGCGCAAGCGAACAAGCAAAAATATGATCGCTCTCTACTAATGTACAAGAAGAAGTATCGTAATTTCGCTATCATCTATACACTACATGTGTCCTTGAAAGCTGATACAACTATAATTGTTTTGAAATTTTATAGAGCAACAGAAATGATTTATTGTCTTTCGAAGAATTTTCGAGTTCAGTAGATAATGACTTCACAGTTATGAAGACAGGCTTCTTCATTATTGACACCCTTCTCAAATAGTGTAGCTAGTATTATTTCTGGAAAATTGACATCCGAATATTATAATTCTAAGTCTGTATAAAAGAAAAATAGGCAAATTCCTATAGTTATTTCAAGCACATTATTTACTTCATAAATTATTGTGTATGAAATTGACTTTAGTCTGCTCATAGATGCACTAGTTGAAATTAAACTAGGCACTTTTATTTCTGGAAGTTGAACGGAAACTAAATCGCCATACAAAGGAACTTTTCTAGATATCATTTTCAGGTTTCAATGATTTTTCTCTTGTCAATAGATACTATATAATGTTCTAGTGGAAACCCTTAAACAATTTCATTTCCTATTGAGACTTGACGAAACTAATGCATATTCAGAATAATTATTTGTTAGATACCCTACAGGGCTCTGAGCTGTGAGAGAAATTATGTTTTCAAGTTTTGTTTTGAAGTTATCCCTATTTGAAGGTCTTATATACCGTAGCTTGTATGACGAGTTTCACAGTTCGTAGATTTTGTATCTCTGAAAAAGGAACTCATCGAAAGAGCCTTCTGTTATTTGTTATGCTTCGAAAAGCATCTAGTCCTGAAAAGCTTTCTACTTGGAGATAAGAAATCTCTAAACTCTGAAATTCTTCATACAAGTGGTTGTTTATAAGGCTTTCAAATAGCGATAGTTTCAATAAAAAAATTCAATAAAAGAAACTTTCAGAAAACCTGAAGGTCTATCGGTCTCTAGCAAATACACATATTAAAACCTCACTGACTCCACTAAGTTTGAATACAAACTGGAATCTTTGAAAAGTTTCCATTCGATTACTATTTGGTATCTACATGCGAAAAATCATTGAAATTGAAAGCAGACATCTTCGTAATTTTTATTATTAGATGACTATCATACGACTTGTCTACGTAACGCGACACTTCGCTGATCAATTTCAAAGAAAAATTTTTTCGAGTTGGATAGATTTGAATGAGTCAATAGGTGCAGTTTTTAACACTGATTACGAATTTGGCATTTACTTTGCACAAAAATTAAATTTTGACATTGAAAACTGAGTTTTAAACTTTTGAAAAATCGTATTTTGAGTTTCATAACGGAGAAATTATTCCAAAAAAATAGAGAGACATATCATTCGATGCAGAATTTCATTCTCTACAAGTTGATCTATTTAGTTTTGATTCTCGTGACTAAGGACAATTTGTAGACTCTTATACAGTTTCTAACTTACTGCGTCTCTTATGAGCTTCCACGTCGATATATCCGTCTCATGCTTGCGTAGAACTATTAATTATACAGAAAAGACTAACGCTTATAAAATCCAATTGCATTCTGGGCATGTTAAGTGCCTGAAAATTGGTCGAAAGAAAAACTGTGTTACAGCATTATGTTTGTTATTTGCATTTTTTTATCTGAGCAAAAATTGTTTAGAGAAAACTTTCTTTAGCATTCAAAAGCTCGTTCAAAGCTGTACAAAACTGACTCTAGAAGTGTTCATTTAGAGAAATAGTTTCACAAAAAATGACAGTTTCATTAGCGACTCTAAAGAAAAAGGGTCCTTTTATGTCACAACGTTACGCGATCAGAAACTCTCTCCTGAAGCTCGAGACTTTTACCGAACAAGTTATTCTTGTGGCATAAATAGAACTTCACAAGCTGCATCGAATGGCATTTGTATGAACCTTCTACGTAGCTCTTAGAGTTTCAAAGATAATGCAAAGTGTGTCAAAAACGTTACAGCATTACGTTTAGACAAGCCGTATAGTAGAATTAGATATTTGTTGAATGCAGCCGGAATCAAGTTGGAGCTAGTAGATTTTTATCAATCAGGATACAACTTTTGTTGACTTACTGATTTGGAAAATGAAAATAAAAATATCTGACAGAAAAATATCGATTACAGAAGCAAATGCAAAATGATTCAACTTTATCAAGTTACATCAGATAGAGCATCGCTTTTCACAGTCAAATTTTTAGCAGAATTGTCAAAAAACCTACACTGGAGTTGAATTCTAATTCAACAAATATGAGTGGAATTAGAATGACATTCAGTTGAATGCATCCATTTCTGACTATTTCTCTCCTTAAATTTAGAACATTTCTTATATGGATATCAAACCAACTAGCCAACTCCATGCTAAACTGTTTGAGTAAGCATTATTATATTTTATATCAATGGACTCCATCTTATTCAATTTTTGTAAAGTAACATTGCAAAGATCGAGAAAGGTATTGGTTTCGAATTCTTGACTCTGTTGGTAACGTTATTCATGACTATTGGTTGTTTAATAACATCTTTCATAATCAACTGGACATTGACTTTGATCATGCTATGTTTCATGCTTCTATTCATTATTAGCTCACATGTCTTTTCTAAGGTATGAAGTCTTTTTCAATCAATGAAATCTGTATGAATTTTTACAGCTTACTGCTAATGAAGCAATGAAGGAGTTAATGACATACTCAAAAGCAGGACAAATCGTTCAAGAAGTATTTAGTTCACTGCGAACTGTTCTTTCTCATAATGGTAGCAAATTTGAACAAGAACGGTAGAGAAACATATAAAAATAGTTTACTCAAATGGCGTCATAAAGCATGTTATTATTTTTATTGCATTTAGATATGAAAGAGAAGTAGATTCAACTCGTTGGAGTAGCATACGGAAAGATCTCATATATGGAATTTATATTGGATGGACATCTCTAAACAATCACCTAGTTTATGCAGTTGGTTTTATCGTTGCTTCTCTTCTTATGTCACATGAAGATTATCGTAGTTCGAACATAAGTGATATTCTTGTCGTAAGTAATTCATATAATCAGTCAATAAGGAAATAAATACAATACCACTACTATTCTGATGCAGGTCGTTTGTAGTTTTGCGCGATGCTTCAGTTTCTACAGTGATTTTGCTATTTTCTTTCAAGCACTTTCAGAGGCTCAAGGTGCGGCAGTAGTAGTGTTTCAACTTATTGACGAGGTAAATCCTAGTAACTTGGGATTTCATCTCGATAGCAATATTTTGTATCTGTTTATATGATATAGGGAAATGAAGCTAGCTTGAATGAAACAGATATATGGAAAGAGAATACAGAATCGATTTATAATATCAATGGTGATATTGAATTTGACAATGTGAACTTTACGTATCCATCTAGAAAAGAACTATCAGTTCTGCATAATCTCTCTTTTATTGCTCGTACTGGTCAGACAACTGCTCTTGTAGGTTCAAGTGGCTGTGGTAAGTCTTTTCAAAAACAAAAATGTTAAAAGTGATTTTCTTTCTATTCATAATTTATTCATAGGAAAAAGTACATGTATATCACTATTGCTTCGTTATTATGAGCCTTCCTTGGGTCAAATAAAGATCACTGGTCGGCCAATAACAGATTACAATGTCAAGCAACTTCGTCAAAACATTGGAGTTGTTAGTCAAGAACCTGTATGCTTTGTTTTTTCTTTTTTCTTTTTTCTTTTTCTATTTGATTTTCTATTGTAATAGATTCTGTTTAATATGAGTATTTATGAAAATATTCGTTTTGGTAAAGTAAATGCTACCCAATCAGAAATTGAAAATGCAGCACGAGAAGCTAATGCACATAATTTCATCATGGAATTACCAAATGTTTGTACCAAATATTCATATCTATCTATCCATCTATCTATATATATAT